TTTTTTTTTTCTCACAGAACCAGGGATTGAACTCAGGCCCTTGCACTTGCCAGGGAAACACTTATTCCACTGAGCCATCTCCCCAGCCCCCAAGCGTGATCTATCTTAAATCCCTTTGTTTGTTTCAGAAACTAAAATTACAGAATCATCTTATGACACAAGGCAATAAGAGGTTCAGTGGAGAAAAGCAGAGATTTATAAAAATTAATAATGAACAGTCCTACCCCTCAAAGAGATTTTGATAAACTGGAGAAAAAATGAACAAAATTCACAATCACGTGTAACACAATATAAACCTTGGAGTCTACATTAAAGCAACAACAGCAATGGCAATATTCTACAGACTTACATTATGAATACACTTTGAATACATGTCAAAACAACCCAGGAAAAATATTCATAAACACTTGTACACCCAACCACAAACATCTCAAACAAGTTTCATGAATGAATACTTAGCTTTGTTATGTGCAAAGCATACCAACATTTTGTACTACGCTTTATTCATCTTTCTAAATATTGTTTTCTTTACCTACTAAATTTATTTTATATGCCATTAATGGGTCTAATTTCCAACTTGAAAAAAATGTAAAAATATGATAATAAAGCTAAAATATGCTATGGAAATGCACATAGGGATAAATTAGTCATGATCAGAAGATTAAAGAGTTGCTATCTGAGCTTAGAAATAAGATAGCTGGCATTTTGGCAAACAGAGTATCTAAGAAAACTTTTCAGGGATATAAACCTATGGGAGTAGAGGCTGGGGGAATGAATGCAGGTATGTGGGGAGCAGTGAGCCTTTCCTGGAGAGGGAAGTGAACAGAAAGGAGGTTCAGCCCTGAAGGCAGGCCATCTTGATATCTGCACAAGAAGGAGGCCACATTGAAATTTTAAGCTAGTGAACAAAATGCCCTATCTGTGGCTTAAGAAGATAGGTTTCCTAGGAGGAGAAGGTTGAGAGAAATCAACTTAGAGGTCCGAGACCACTGAGAGCATTTGGACATAGAGCAGGTGAGGACAGTGGTGCTGGGAGGAGGCAAGAAAGCAGGAGGGTCCTGGGAGGCTGACGTCCACACGACATGGCTGTGTGTGGACCTGGGAGGGAGAAGCTTGCTGAGACCTGCCATTGCTGCTCTTCAAGTATGGAAGCTGGAAGCTGGAAGCTGGACGGAGCAGTGGAGGAAGGCTGCAGGCCTTGGGAGGAGTGCAGGGAGGACTGTCTAGTACCACGACTGAGAGACAGGACTCTGAGACCTGGGTCCCAATTCCAGTTCTATGCCTTCCTGGCTATTTGTATTTGAATCACTTATTTAATCCCCAAATACGATAACTCTCTTCTTGGAAAATAAATTCAAACAAGTTTTTATATAGGAGAGTTGTTGTGAGACTTCATTAGCTCAGAAAAAGGAAGAGCCTAGAATACTGCAGACTTGTTAAGTTTTACTTTTGAGCCTAATAATCTTAATTTTTACTTCAAAAGCTTTGCTATAATTACATTTGTATAGTTCCCTTGATTTTTTCCTTCTCTTGCAATTCTTAACGTTCTACACCTTTCCCTACATGGATATTTTAGTTACTCTAGCTTACTTTTGTCTTTTCTGCACAGTGTCTTTGCAACACAGAGGTATTATTGCTCTGTAGCTCTGTTATATCACTGAGTTTTTCAGAAGCATCTTTTCTTCCTCTTCCCCAAGTCATCCAATTTATAGAAGGAAAGACATGGAGGGGCAGAGCCCAGTCCAAACCCACGCAAAGCCATGATCATCCTTACCTGATCCCGCAATGCTGGTGAGCTTGCTCCGTTCAAGGGGAGGAGCCCATTTTGCCCAAATTGTAAACTGACCTGTCCATGCCATTCCCTGAAATGAAAATAATTAAAACATTTGCTCTTGTGCAGAATTTGGGGATCTGCACCCCAGTCAGAATGAGAAAGTGCTTGGATACCTGGGCCATGCCCTGCACTGTCCGGATCACAATGACCAAAATCACTCCAAAGTCAGCAGCCAAGGGCGTAAAGATGGTGAGAAGGGAGGAGATCAGCAAACCAGCACCGAGCATCTGTTTTGCTCCAAGTATCCCTGCTAAATAGCCACTTGGGATCAGAGTTAGTATTATTCCGTAGCTGATGGAGCTGAAGATGATGCCCTGGGTCTCTGGGCTCCACTGATACACAGGGGCCTGAAAAAAATAAGAAGAAAAACTGTTTTCTGAGAAATCATTTGATGAAAATCTGTTCTCTACTGAGTTGACAGGTTGGTGAGACTCTTTTACAAAATATCTATTTTATAACCACTAAGAAGAATATATGCAGTGTGTTATTTGTTGAAACTGTACTTCCGATTTGATTTGAAACTGTCTCATTGCTGTTTATCAATAAGATTTTGAAAAAAAAATCTATTTTAGTTTTTTTCTATTTTTTATCTGATTTAGAAATTCTACCTTTTCCAAATAAACAACCATTTATACCTCCAATTTGACTCTTTTAGAAGGTTAGAAATAAGAAATGAAGAAAGGAGATGACTAATTCCACAGACGAATGATGAAAACTAGCTAGAAAGCCATTAAGAAATAGCTCGTCTGTTGAAAAAACACCCTTTAACTGTTTAGTAAAAGTTGACAGGCACTGACTTTTATTTGAAAGAATAAAATATCTGCAATTTCCATGAACTCTTACCAAAATCAGCCCTTAAATTAAAAAAAAATCAAGTTTATGCATTATGGTCTTCCATGACAGAGCCAAGTTTCTAAGATACATGTCAAACGAATAAGATCATGTTTCTTTCTGATTTAATTGAATAAACACTTTTGGGAAGTCCTGTAGACACATAGTGTCAGATTATAAATTATATAGTTGCAGAATATAAATTAATAAATATTTATCTATTTAAATAACTATGAACAATGTAAGGCATACAATTTAAATACTATGTGAAGTTGAATAAATAAAGATTCAGAGAACAGGAAAAAACAATATGAAAGGGAAACAGTATGAGAATCATCCTTTGAAGAATGCCTAAAATTTATATAAGGACAAAAAGCAAAATTCATTCTTATTAAATAAAACAAGAAACAAGAACTTGCAGCATTTGAAAGGATAGGGAAACAATCACAAAATAGCTGTGCCTTTTGCTGGCTCAGAGCCCTTATCCCCGGATGTATGCAGCAAACGGGGGCGCTGAGAAGCAGAGCCCAACTCGGGAGCGGCAGGGTGCATGGAGCAAGCGCAGCGTGCTTCACGACACAAAGGACTCCAGGGCACAGAAGTCATGACAGGAAAACTGCACCCAGTGAAATAAAATGATGAATTACAAATTATAGCGATGACACTAGACGTGTACAGTGAGTAAGAGATGATTTAAAGCAAGGGTCCCAGACTCTTGGCCATATCAGTGGCCTGCTAGGAAAAGAGCTGCACAACTGGAGGTGATCAGTAGGCAGTGGACGTGCAGAGGAATGCTTTATCTGTATGTATTGGAGCTCCTCTTTCCTCCCATTACTGCCTGAGCTGCATGTTATGTCACATCAGTAGGGGCTTTAGAGCCTCACAGAAGGACGATTCCTATTGTGAGCTGCATATGCCAGGGATATAGGTTACTCAGTAATTTATGAGATTCTAAGTAATAATAATAGAAATAAAAACCACAATAAATGTAATTAATGTACTTGAATTATTCTGAAACCATCATATTCTTTGGCTTTCCCAAGCTCACCCTGAGGAAAAATTGTCTTCTGGGCAATTGGTTCCTGGTTCCAAAATATCCCAACTGGTTCAAAGGAGAATTCAAGTGAGCACACACATGTAAGCAAGAAGTGAAGCTGCAGTGGGTGTTAAAGCAAATGGGTGCGCTTTGTGGCCATAATGTTCAGTGAAATAACTCAGGTATGCAAGGTTAAATCAGGGTGTCTCTTATAGGAAAGACTTAAATTGTAAATAAAGAGAAAGCCAGAAGAGATAGTAGGAAGTAGGAAAATGGATCTTTCTCCAATCAGAAGGAGGTCAAGAGATGCAGGGAGGGACCAGGAAGGGGTAAGGAATGCAGAAAGGAGTTGGGGTGTGTTATGTATCAGGTGCACACAGGAATACAAATGTTACATGCTGCAAACATGTATGTAATGATAAACACTAAACAAAGAAGAAAAAAGATAGTCACAGAAGAATGGATAGATATGGTAGATAGAGAATAGGTAGAAGTACTGACTTGTTCAGTTGGGCTTGGACTGGTTAGTGCCATGTCATTTCCCTCAGGATGGGATGTATAGGCAGTAGTCATTTGTGTTTCTGTTAATTATGTAGAATTCACAGAGCTCTGAAACAGCTTACGAAAGTAAAAGGTGGCAGAGATCCAAATGGAATTGGGTAACTCAAAAGCTTCCCTCTAGATAGTAACTAGTTTTTCACTGATGACACTTGGTAATCTATTTGTTCCATTTTAGAATTCTTCATTATTTTTTATAGTTTCCCCACATGAAAATAAAAATACTCAATGAAATGTATTTATCATCACAAAGATACCCAATTGCTCTTTCTTTTTCTCCTCCCTTTCTTTCTTTCTTTCTTTCTTTCTTTCTTTC